AATGTTTGAGGATCACGGACATCGCCGGGTGACTTTTCCTGAGAGGCCGCGTCGCGGGTTCCTTTTAGGTTCCTAGTCAGCGCGCATGCGCCGCCTGCGCTCCGCCGCTCCCGCCTCGGGGTTGGGCTCGGGCTCCGGGATGTCCGCGTTGTGTGACCCCCCCGGGGCCCCAGGGCCTCCCGGGCCCGCCCCGGCCACCCACGGTCCCGCGCCGCTCAGGTAGTCAGAGCTCCTGTCATATTCCCCCGCCACGCGGTCCCGCGCCAATCCCCAGCCGCCTCGGCAGAGATCCGGATCCTCCCTCGAGAACTCGCGTCCAGGTTCTCAGAGATTCTTGATCCGGTCTTCCCAGACCTCAGGGACTGCTTCACAAAACGTTCAGGCTCCAGGTCCCGTTCTCCCAAGACCTCGGCCATCCCTCCCTCTAAACCCCAATGCCTAGATACCCCAGACCCCGGCCTTGTTCACCCTATTGTCGGGGATATCAGAACTCTTGGGAACCAGATGTCCTGCCTCTTTTAGAACCGAAGGAACCTAGCGCTCTGATCTCAGGGGGATGCCCTGAAACCCTGACCCCACCGACCGACTGGTTCCCGCTAGCCTGTCATTGCACTTGAACAGGGACACACCCCTCACCTTAGCAGGTTCCTTTGGGGGAACCTGAGACATAGGGCACCTTTAGAGCCTTATCAGCCCCTAAAGGATGCTGCCTCTTTGGCAGAAAAGGCAATTAGAGGAAGAGGATTTTGCCTGCTCTCATAACATTGGCTTCTGGATCTCTTAGGGCTGAGCCCATGCAGTTGGGGAGGGGAACGGCTGAAAGGCGTTACCCTGTGTGTGCCCAGGGACACCCTGAGTCCCAGGCACGTTCAGAGTGGAGGGAAGGAAAGTTGTTGATGTGGTGTCCAAGTGGAGGATGATTAGAATGGTTGCACGATATGGGACGAAACAGGTGTTAGGAGGAAGAGCCCCCAGTAAGAAGTAAGTTAGAACTCTAATATTTTGTTTCCATTAAGAGAGGATCCATTAAAGATCAGGGATGTTTCTGTTATGGGGGTAGAGGTGGAGAGGTCAAGGTGGGAAGGTGTTTTTAAAATGGACGTTACAGGAACACAAAATATACTTACTCAATTTGACAAATATTTACTGAGCACTTCCCATACGACAGGCATCTCAGAAGAGGATTCATTGGTGATGAGCACAGAAGTAGTTCCTGCCATCCTGGAGCTTATGGTGTGATCACTTAACTTCAGTTTCTTTATCTGTAAAATGGGATCATAATAGTACCTACCTCACTGGATTGTTGTCAGGATAGAGAGAATATGTATAAAGTATTTAAGAGTATCTGACCCGTTCTAAGAGTTTTCTAATGTTGGTAGGATTATTGAAAGAAAAAGAGTTAGTATTTGAGTGATTGACATGACTTAGGTGAACTAGTGTGAACACCAGTGATTGGCATGACCTAGGTGAACTAGTGTGAACACCATGTTATGAGGGAGGTAGTTTGTATTCCTGTTTTACGTAGAAAGTGAGGCTCAGCGAGGGAACATAACTTGCCCAACACCTCACACCATTCTTCTCTTGCTTCCTTCCAGTGCTCAGGAGCTGTCCCAGGAAATCAAAGCTTTTCTGACTGGCGTCGACCCTGTGCTGGGCCACCAGCTCTCTGCCCCGGAACATGCTCGCTGTGGTCTTCTCTTGCTCCGCTCCTTACCACCTGCTCGGGCTGCCGTGCTTGACCACTTGCGAGGCGTCTTTGACGAGAGTGTCCGGGCCCATCTGGCTGCTCTGGATGAAAGCCCTGTGGCTGGCCCACCTCACCTCCGCCCACCGCCATCCTCCCATGTTCCTGCTGGGGGCCCTGCTCTAGAGGATGTGGTACAGGAAGTGCAGCAGGTGTTGTCCGAGTTTATCCGGGCCAACCCGAAGGCCTGGGCACCTGTGATTAGTGCGTGGTCCATTGACCTCATGGGGCAACTGAGCAGCACGTACTCAGGCCAGCACCAGCGTGTGCCCCATGCCACTGGCTCTCTCAATGAACTGCTGCAGCTGTGGATGGGCTGCCGAGCCACACGCACGTTAATGGACATCTACGTGCAGTGCCTCTCGGCTCTCATTGGCAGCTGCCCAGACGCCTGTGTGGACGCTTTGCTGGACACTTCGGTCCAGCATTCCCCTCACTTTGACTGGGTCGTAGCACACATTGGCTCTTCTTTTCCCGGCACCATCATCTCCCGAGTCCTCTCCTGTGGCCTCAAGGACTTCTGTGTCCATAGCGGGGCTGGAGGTGGAGCTGCTGGGAGTGCTGCAAGCACTTCTCAAAACCCCTCTGCAGACCCCTTCCCTGGATCTCCTGCCATCCCTGGGGAGAAACGGGTACCCAAGATCGCCTCAGTCGTAGGTATCCTAGGGCACCTGGCCTCCCGCCACGGAGACAGCATCCGACGGGAGCTCCTGCAGATGTTCCACGATAGCCTGGCAGGGGGACCTGGGGGCCGGAGTGGGGACCCTTCCCTTCAGGCCACAGTTCCCTTCTTGCTGCAGTTGGCAGTCATGTCACCAGCTTTGCTGGGCACCGTCTCAGGAGAACTGGTAGACTGCCTCAAGCCTCCGGCTGTGCTGAGCCAGCTGCAACAGCACCTGCAGGGATTCCCCCGAGAGGAACTGGACAACATGCTGAACCTGGCCGTGCACCTGGTGAGCCAGGCCTCGGGCGCAGGTGCCTACCGCCTGCTGCAGTTCTTGGTGGACACAGCTATGCCGGCCTCGGTCATCACCACCCAGGGCCTGGCCGTGCCAGACACTGTACGTGAGGCCTGTGACCGGCTGATCCAGCTGCTGCTGCTGCACCTGCAGAAACTGGTGCATCATCGGGGAGGGCCTCCCGGGGAGGGGGTGCTGGGCCCACCCCCTCCTCCCCGCCCTGTGCCCTTCTTAGATGCGCTAAGGAACCATGTTGGAGAGCTGTGTGGAGAGACCTTACGACTGGAACGGAAGCGCTTCCTCTGGCAGCACCAGCTCCTGGGCCTGCTCTCTGTCTACACGAGGCCTAGCTGTGGACCTGAGGCCTTGGGCCATTTACTGAGCCGGGCCCGAAGCCCTGAAGAGTTGAGTTTGGCCACCCAGTTATACGCGGGGTTGGTGGTCAGTCTCTCTGGCCTCCTGCCCCTGGCCTTCCGAAGCTGCCTGGCTCGGGTGCACGCAGGGACTCTGCAGCCACCCTTCACAGCCCGGTTCCTGCGAAACTTGGCTTTGCTGGTGGGGTGGGAACAGCAGGGTGGCGAAGGCCCTGCAGCCCTAGGGGCCCAGTTTGGGGAGTCGGCCTCAGCCCATCTGTCTGACTTGGCTCCCCTCCTACTACATCCCGAGGAGGAAGTAGCTGAAGCCGCTGCCTCCCTGTTGGCCATTTGTCCCTTCCCTCCAGAAGCCCTATCCTCCTCCCAACTCCTGGGGTTGGTGAGGGCTGGGGTGCATCGCTTCTTTGCCTCCCTGAGGCTGCACGGGCCCCCAGGTGTGGCCTCGGCCTCCCAGCTTCTCACCCGCCTCTCTCAGACCTCTCCGGCGGGGCTCAAGGCTGTGCTGCAGCTGCTTGTTGAGGGAGCCTTACATCGGGGCAACACAGAGTTGTTTGGAGGGGAGGTGGATGAGGATAGTGAGACTTTCTCAGTGGTCTCGGCTCCTTTGGCCTCGGCCTCCCTGTTGGACACTAACCGACGGCACACTGCAGCTGTGCCAGGGCCTGGAGGAATTTGGTCAGTTTTCCATGCTGGAGTCATCGGTCGTGGCCTCAAACCTCCCAAGTTTGTCCAGTCACGCAATCACCAGGAAGTTATCTATAACACCCAGAGCCTCCTCAGCCTCCTGGTACACTGCTGCAGTGCCCCTGGTGGCACAGAATGTGGGGACTTCTGGGGGGGCCCCACCCTGAGCCCAGAGGCAGCCAAAGCAGTGGCAGTGACGCTGGTGGAGAGTGTGTGTCCTGATGCCGCTGGTGCTGAGCTGGCCTGGCCCCCGGAGGAGCATGCACGAGCCACAGTGGAGCGGGATCTCCGCATTGGCCGGCGCTTCCGCGAGCAGCCCCTGCTCTTTGAGCTGTTAAAGCTGGTGGCAGCTGCTCCCCCAGCCCTGTGCTACTGCTCCGTGCTACTGCGGGGGTTGCTGGCGGCCCTCTTGGGCCATTGGGAAGCCTCTCGCCACCCAGACACAGCCCACTCCCCCTGGCAGCTGGAGGCATCCTGCACCCTGGTGGCTGTGATGGCCGAGGGGAGCCTCCTGCCACCGGCCCTGGGCAACATGCACGAGGTATTTAGCCAACTGGCACCGTTTGAGGTGCGCCTGCTGCTGCTCAGTGTCTGGGGCTTCCTCCGGGAGCATGGGCCCTTGCCCCAGAAATTCATCTTCCAGTCAGAGCGAGGCCGCTTCATCCGGGACTTTTCTAGGGAGGGTGGGGGTGACGGGGGACCCCATTTGGCTGTGCTGCATAGTGTCCTCCACCGCAACATCGACCGCCTGGGCCTTTTCTCTGGCCGTTTCCAGGCGTCTTCGCCGTCCACCCTCCTTCGGCAGGGGACATAAGCTTTTTATACTCTAGACCCGAAGGCGGTGTTTGCAGTGAGATAAGGTGTTAGGGTGCTCTGGAAAGGTGGAGGTTTCTAAGTCCTCGGCCCAAAGAGCGCTGTCACTTTTTTCCTTCCTCACCTTTTTTTTCCTAAATAAAATTTGCCGAGTTGACTATAAAACCGTCAAGTGCCTCCGTCTGATGCTTAGAGCGGGCAAAGTCGAACAGCTCGCCTGGCTCTGGACGGTCCCGCCCCTGGCCTTAAGCTCCGCCTCTGTCCTCCGCCCAGTATTCAGACTTTTGACTCCGCCAATGCGACAGCTGCTGGGCGGTGCTCTGGCCAGGCCAATCAGGAGGCCGGAAGGGGCGGGAGTTAGGATACGTGGCTCAACGCGTGCGGGGGGAGGGGAGGTCCGAGGTCAAAGCGCAAACCCGGCACAAGATGGCGGCGGTAGCGGCAGTGGCGGAGCGTAGGAGGCGGTGAGGAGCCCGGAATCCGGGGGCGCGCCCCGGACGCCCCTAGCCCCCCTAAGCCCCATAGCTCTCCTTCCGATCAAGTCTCCTGAGACTTTGCCATCTCCAGCCTTCGCAAGGTCCTTTTGTTCCTCTAGAGGCGGCCTCAGACGTCCCCAGTCTCTCCGCGGTAGATCCGCGCGGCGCTGGGCTCTCTAGCTTCTGGAACTCCCCGCTTCAGCCGGGCGGCTCTAGAGGGCCGCAGCCGTGCGCTCGGCCTGGTCTTGGCCACTCTCAGCCGCCGCCCTCTCTTGGCGACTCACAGAGGCCAGTGCTGCCGCCTCTTGCCTGCAGTGCGCGGGGCCGCCGGGGCGGGGGACGAGAAGCGCCCCGGCCTCGGGGAACGTAGGCTGCTGCTCTACGGCCTCTCTCAGTCCGCGGCCAGCAGTTCCGTCTGCACCACTGTTCTTGCCCCCGCCCCCACCCGCCGAGCCCCGGACCCTGCCCTTGTCTTCACGTGGACACCAGTCCTAGCTCGTTTGGTGTCCACGGCCTCTGGGCACGGCCGGGGCGACATCTAGTAAGTTCACACTGCCTGCGTGATGTTGCTCAAACACAACATGTACTTGGATGGTTTAGTCCGGGCTCTCGAGCTTGTATTACTGAAGAAAAGATTCGAATCACATCACCAGGACCACAAAACGTTTACCGGGACCTAACGGGTGCACTTACTTGGGATGGGAGAGGCGTGTACTACCGGCAACCGTGAAAAAAGCGTGGATCCTAAACTCACCTCCCTGGGAGCCTGTGATCTGAAACAGTCAGTAAACGGGTGGTGCACTTGCTCTGCGGCTTAGTCCTGAATTTTGACTTGTGACCACCTCTTGCCTGGGGTGTTCAGGGCATTCCTGAGTTCCTAGGGCTTTGCACCAGGTCCTATCTGGGAGGTTCCTTAGAAATCCTGTTCCCGTTGGCATCTCTCCAAACCCCTTTTACAGATTGTGCAAGTAGGGTTTTTAACTCACAGTACATCTCGTTACTGCTGCTTTGGGCACGTGGGTATGGGGTCAGTGGCTCAGGGTGCCTGATGCAGTCCCTCCTCTGGATCTTTGATTGTGCAACGTGCCTGTTGAGTTCTGGTATATTTCTTATTTATGTTTTGCTCCTGTTTATTCCTGCTTGGCCTTTTATACCTCTGTGCCTCATATTTTCCTCACTTTTCTGTCTGGCATGGGCAGGAGTATTTGGTTTGTACACTCTCCTGGAACAGGACAGCATACTATGGTGGTCTAGATTCTTCTTTCTGGTGATTTTCTTTACAGTTAGCTGTCAAGCAGCTATTCAGGCTAATGTGTCCTACTCTTAATTACCCTATTAGTAGGCTGCAGAATGGTGTTGCTTAGAAGCCTCTTTTGTTTTTGTTTTTCTTATTTGGACCATTTTCTCAAGAGTGTCTTCCTGGACTCCTACATCAGAGTTACTTGGAGAGCATATTTATAGTGCAGATTCCTGGGGCTCTGGAATCTTCATTTAATAAGCTTGCAGGTGATTATTAAGAGAAATTGAAGTTTGAAAACTCTTGTCTCGGATTTTACTCAGGATGGATGAATATGTCCTTCAGTCTAAGGCCTGCCTATCTCCTTCCAAGAAATCAGGTATTGAAAACCCTATGGAACACAGTTCACTCTGACACACGTGAGGTTGCTGTGGGCTGGAGTCTACTCGATGGCATCTAGTTTTTGTTCTTGTTTTTTATTAGTCCCTTGTCTGTCATTGGATAGTTTGTGATAATTTTAGGACGATAGTCTTCAGTGTGGCCACCCAGGACAGCCTGCTAGTGGTTAGTGTTCTGTATCTTGCATCAAGTTAAGTACTTGGTTCCCTGAATCAGGTGGAACTGGGCTCCATCTCTGTCTCACCCCTTACTAGCTGTTTGATCTTAGATGAGTTATTTATCCTTTTATGCATCAATTTTCTCCTCTGGGGAAAAAATCCAACCCTATGCTCACCAAGAATACAACAAAAGAAAGGAAAAAGAGGTAAATGAGGATTCAGTGAAATAGCATGTGTAAAGAATGGGTTCTGAACCCTGGTTGCTCCTTGCAGTTGTTTAGGGAGCTTTTTTTAAAAAAATAAATTAAAAAACATTTTTATTGTGATTTGGGTGAAAGTTTACAGAGCAAATTCATTTTCTATGCACTGTTCAGAACACATTTTGTTTCATGACTTTGACTGCAATTCCCCACAGTGTAACAGCTCTCTTCTCACTTCCTCCCCATAGTTACCTCTTTCCTGTGTCCTTCCCTCTCATGTACTTCCACTCCCTCCAAACTTTCTCTCTGTATCCTTATGCAAACACTACCCTTCTGTTCTTCCAGGATCGATCGCTCCAAGTAGTGTATCTACCTGATGTAAATGTTCACCTCATATGCTTGTCTGTTGTTTGGCTGGAAGCCACAGGAGTGAGTTCAGTTCCAGACCTGAAAGGTAACTAGGGGCCATAGTCTCAGGGGTCCCACTGGGCTCCATCAGACGAGTAAACCTGGTCTTTTTGATGATTTTGCGTTTTGTTCCACATTGTCCTACTCTATCCAGGATCTCTTGCACTGATCCCTTTCCAAGTGGTTGACAGTGGTAGCCAAGCACAATCTAGTTGTCCTGGTCTCCTGGTTACATGAGGCTTGCATGATCTACTAGTGCCTTGGACTAATTGTTTCCCTGCATCTTTGATTTTCTTCTTTCTTTGCTCTCGATGAAGAGAGATCCATTGTTGCATCTAGATGGCTGCTTACAACCTTTTAAGACCTCAGTTGCTACTCACCAAAGCAGGATGTAGGACAGTGTTTTTGTGTAGTGTGTTGTGCCAGTTGAGCTTGATGTCCCCCACGACAATGGTCCCAAGCTCACAGGCCCAACGACTCGCTTAGGGAACTTTTATTTTTTATTGTGTTATTAACAAACAAAAAACCAAACTCACTGCCATTGGGTCGATTCTGACTCATAGCGATCCCCTGTGGGTTTCTGAGGTGGTGAATCTTTACAGAAGTAGATTGCTTAGTCTTCCTTCCATGGAGCAGCTGGTGGGTTTGAACCGCCAACTTACTGGTTAGCAGTCAGATGCCTTAGGCACTACACCAGTAATGCACAGGACTGAGGTCAGACCATTTAAGTCAATCTTTGAGGGGGTAGGAGCCAGACGTTGATAATCTTTGACTGCAGGTAGAGTTGAGGGGTAGGGCTATGAAGCAGGTAGCCATGCCTCTGAGGGTCTCTTAGGGCTCACTGTTGTTATACTTTGCTCGTCAGTAACAATGGTGGTGATCCTTTTGAAGATAAAGGAGTAGCTATCAGAAGAACAAGACACTAAGGAAGTTAGAGCCCTTCAAACTGTGACTGGCAGGCTAGCTGGGGGTGCATCTTTAACTTTCTAGCTCCTCCTCGTCTGTGGAATGGCAGAATGGCGTGCTTGCTTTGTTTCTCTCTCCCACACATGCTGCCACCACTTCCCCAGGGACTGGCTGTTAGCTTCTTTCCTTTGAGAGGCTGATGTAACCAGCGTCAATACCAAGTCCTCTGAAAGTTAAAGATCCTTTGTCCACTTCCTCTGCCTTTGGAAGGGAAGATGTGCTGAGCCTGCCCCTCAGGCCTGCCCCTTAACCCCACGTGCACTCTGCCTTCTTTCCTGTCTGAGGGGTCTCCATCTTCCTCCTCTTTTTCCTGAGCCATCTGTTAGGACTGTGGCAAGAAGAGGCCTTTCCCTTGGAAGGTGGGGCCCTTCCTGACCCCATGCTGACTGTTATACCTCTGTCCTTTTTCTCCTTAGGTCTTGGCCAGGTTTGGTACTGATTTGCTTAGGGCTTGGCCTGGGAATTACCCTTGCTGTGGATAGAAGCAACTTTAAAACCTGTGAAGAGAGTTCCTTCTGCAAGTACGACATTTCTTGGAGGGTGGGTGGGATGGGAGGTAGGGTAACGCGGGAGGGATCTGTGGCTGAGGGAGTGGCCTGGGAACATTGCAGGTGATAAGGGGGCCCAAGGACACTGGGATGTACCTCCTCACCTTAATTTTGAACCACTCCCCTTGGCAGGCGGCAGCGAAGCGTACGACCAGGCCTCTCTCCGTACCGAGCCTTGCTAGACTCCCTGCAGCTTGGTCCCGATGGCCTCACTGTCCACTTGATCAACGAGGTCACCAAGGTCGGGAAACAAAGAAGAGCCTCGTGGGGGTGGGCAGATGTTGAAGAGTTATTTGAAAAGGGGAAACCCCTAGTCAGCAGCCCCAGCCTAATCTTGGGGCTTTTACTTTGTGAGGAATTCAGATTTCAGTTCCTTTAGGAAAAAGGCTACGAGGAGGAAACCCTTTGGTCAGGAATGAGTTCAGAGGGCGTTCCGTGTGGCTTCTCCTCTCCAGCTCCAAATGTCTGGCCCCCACAGGTATTGCTGGTGCTGGAGCTCCAGGGCCTTGAGAAGAACATGACTCGGATCAGAATCGATGAGCTGGAGCCCAGGCGGCCCCGGTACCGGGTGCCAGATGTGTTGGTGGCTGATCCCCCTACAGCGCGGTAAATTTCTCCTGAGAAACAGATGCTCTTCATGGCCCTGTTCTCCTTCCTGGTGAACATTTTTTCACTGATGGACTTCCTTTCCCGCATGGGGGACTGTCTCACTCGGCCCTTGCTACTCTCCTCATGCTGTCTCCATCTCTCCCTCTGTTGCACTTACTTTCTCACTTTCCATCCTCATTCTGTCATTTATTCAGCAAACAGGAGTTGCTTCCTCTTCTGATCCAGGCCTGGGCTAGGTGCTGGCAGTATAAATGAGGCACATATCTTGCCCCCCAGGAATATAGTGTCTCTGGTTTCTTCCTCCCTCCCTCCGTCCCTTCCTTCCTTTTCAGAAACTCAGAGTAAGATTGCTCAGATTCTTGGGTCATAACACTGTCATCACTGTTTCATACATAGCTGTCTGTGAAGTACTTAGTTTAGAAAATAACAATAAACACCTGTAAATCCTCCACTCAACCCAGCCACGTACTTGTCACCGGCCTAGACCCCTGTGCAGAAAGCATGTGGAGATAGCATCCTCCTCTGACTACCTCCCAACTTCAGGAAGGGGAAACAGAATTGCCATCAGCAGCCCAAGGCTGATTACTATCAAGCCTAAGTCAGACATGCCACCACCCTCCAACCTTCTTACTGATTCTGACACCAACCATCCCTCCCATGGCACCCTACTTCTATGCTGGGTTCGAAAATTCATTGCAGTGGCCACCCAGAACTCATAGCCAAATACTCATAATTATGGGGTTCATTAGGGCAGTGTTTTATTAGGGAAGTAACAGGTTATAATTCAGGTATAGGAACGCTAAGGACAACCTCCCCTTGGCCATACCCTCAGGCATGTGGCTCTTAGGCTTTTGGCCTCTCAGCCTGGCCACTGGCCTACTGGCCCAGCCTCGGCCCTGCTTGGGCAAGTGTTACAAAGCTCTTTTAGCTCTGCTGATAGGTACACCCAGGTGCATTCCACTCCGCCATCAATGCTCCTGCCCAAAGATACTCAGCTTTCTTGCTCTGTGGGCTGGCAAGCTCACCACATTACTCATGCTCGTCTCTCTGTTCTGCTGCTACTGTCTCAGCCCTAGTCTCAGTGCAGGGATCTCAGGTCTAAGGTCGTACTGCACTCTCGGCTCTTCTCTGTCTTGATGGTAGTGAGACCACTCCCTTGTGCCTCTAGGAGGGCTCATTTTAAGCCTTGTGGAACGACAAAACGAATCAATCCACATGCGGAGGGTGCCATACAACTTATTTGTACCAACTCACCTTATATTTGCGTAGTTAAACCCAATATTTTGTTAAGAATGACAAAGAAAATGGTTAGAGGAGCCATACCAAGTAATTGACTACACTGTACCCTTACTCCCCAGAGGTGATCCTTATCTGACCTTTATCCTTTTCTCATGTCTTAGAATTTCATCATGTGTATGTGTGAACATGTAGACGTGTGTGTACACATGCGTCGGCAATTAGTTACGTGGTCTTGTTTGCTTTAGAAGTTTATAGGGAATATTTTAGTGAATGTCATATGAGGTTTCCTTTTTTTCATACTTTATTTAACCGTGTTACATTTACGTGTAGTTAATTTTTTTTTATGAGAAACATATGCTAATAAAACATTTGACATTTTCTCAATCTGTACACATATAGCAATGACATTAATTGTTTATCATGTTATTCAGCCATCACCCTTATCACCCTTATCCATTCCAAATTACATCACCACCCTTCACAGAGCTCAGGGGCCCTGGTGGTTAAAGTGCTTGACTGATAACTGAAAGTTCAGTGGTTTAAACTCTACTGGCTGCTTCACAGGAGAGAAAGTGGCAAGCTGTTTCCGTAAAGATTTACAGCCTTTGAAACCGTGTGGGGCACTTGTAGTCTGCCCTGTAGGGTTGCTATGAGTCAGAATCGACTCGACAACAGTTTTTTTAATAAGAAACCACAGTAAGAAGTTTTTTTTTAAAAAAAAACCACTGTCACTGAGTCGATTCCTTGGGCTGTTTCCATGCATCTTTGATTTTCTTCACTCTTCTTTGGTCTGGGGAGCTCTGGTGGCATAGTATCTAAGGCATTTGACTGCCAACCAGAAGACTGGTGGTTCACACTCACCAGCCACTCCTGGGAAGGAAAGTTGGGCAATTTACTTCTGTAGTGTCACTGCCTCGGAAACCCAAGGAAGGGTCGCTATGAGTTGAATCCTACTTGATGGCAGTGAGTTTTTTTGTTTGTTTATTTGCTCTAGACGAGGGGAGACCCAGTTGTTACATCATAGATGGCCACTCACAAGCTTTTAAGATTCCAGAGTAGACTGTAGGACAGTGTTACTGTATAGTATGTTAGGCCAATTGAGCCTGATGTCCCCCATAACCGTAGTGTTAAGCCTGTAGGCCCTTCAACTCACTCCCTCGAGGTGTTTGGTTGTGGCTAAGAAGTTACCATAACTTTGCCCCTTGTTGCCTCTGTTAAATATGTGGGCATTTTTATAAGACATACAAATAAGTATGTAGAAATATCAACCTGTTTCTATATTAAAAAAACAAACTCACTGCCATTGAGTTGATTGCGACTCATAGTGACCCCTTTTGGGTTTCTGAGGCAGTAAATATGGAAGTAGAGTGCCCAGTCTTTCTTCCATGGAGTGGCTGGTAGATTTGAACCACCAGCCTTCTGGTTAGCAGTCAGATGCCTGAGGCACTATGCCATCAGAGCTCCTTATCCTCTGTGTACTCATGGATATATTCCCTTTGATCTATGACTGGTTTTTTTTTTTTATTATTATTATTTTTTTATTATTAGGATTTGGGTGAAGATTTACAGAGTAAATTCACTTTTCATACAGCAGTTCACATATACTTTGCCTCATGACATTGACCAAAATTTACAATGCAGCAGCTCCCCTCCCACTTCCTCCCCATAGCTACCTCCTCCCAGCGTCCATCCCTTCATACTCTTCTGCACCCTGAGC